CACGTCTTTTTTCCTAATGTTCTCGCCCTCCCTCCCACTAACTCTGGGCGAACGGGGTGGGCTTGGAGGAACCGAGCTGTCCAGCAGCCCCGGTAAAATCCAACCCGATTTGCAGAAACAGAATTTTGACGGTGGAACTTAAACACTTCGCTGGTCTTCATAAAATCAGTTTCATTTGGCAGCTGGAGGAACACAAGTGTAGGTAAAAGGCAATCTGTTTCAGAAAAGGAAGATGTAAAGTATTAAAAAGAAAAAAAAAGCCTGAAAGCTCATTTTAGAGGTACAGTCAGGGCAGACTCTGCCCCTCCGTTACACGGACATCAGAAATGCTCATTATTTGCTGGTTGAGTGAAACGAATCGTGTGTGGAGGAAGAGGGGACAGTGAAGGGAGTGAGTGTTCATATTACGTGTTGGATAAATTACCTTATTTTTCCAAATGAGACTCTAGATCGGATCTCTCTGCTCTGGAGTTCTATCAAACTGCATTCATTCAGCCAGTATTTACTGAGTGCATATCAGGACAGGGCTGGTTGTAATCCCTGGGGATAGAATGGTGGACAAGAGTACCTGCCACCCAGGGAGTCTACATTTTATTGAGAAAGACATGCACACCACCCCATAAAGTAAGTTGAGAAAGCCTAAAGCGTGGCGGAAAGAAAACAAGCGAACAGGATGAAGAGTAACGCGAACAGAGGGGGCGGAAACGAGGTGAGGGTCCCGCTCGCCAGGGGGTCAGGGTGCAGGGAGGAGCTGCGGGGGGGTGGAGGCGGAGCCAGCAAAGCGGAAGCCCTGGAGAGCTCAGGCTTCTTGTGGAGAAATGGAAACGGTCAGCTGTCGGCTTCCCGCTCACTTCTTCCTTGCCTGCTTTTATTCATACCTGATCTCACATCTTTAGGCCACATGCTCTGATGTTGCAAGTCTCATGCACACAACCAGTCTTCCCAGTGACCAGAGTTACACTTCGGCGGAGTGCTTTGCCTGCCTGGAGGACAGAGCACGCGAGAGAATGGTGTGAGAGGTCTGATCGCGGCGGGGCTCGTAATGAACGAAAGGGACTAGGATCTTTCTGTCGTATAAACAGAAGTCTACTTCCACTCGTGCCGTTTCCTAGAGGTTGTGGGCACACAGAACCACAAGCCTGGTGGTGTCCCGTGTGGCGACGATCTGGTCTTCCACACGCAGGCCACCCTGCACACCACTCTCGAGACCATATATGAAGGAACTCAAAAGCCAAATCCTGAACGTTTTGCTGTGCAAAAGCCAGTTCCCTACTCATCTCCGTATTGAAAAGCAACCTTCACAAGAGAAGCATTTGCTCTTCTACTCAGTGGGCACAAGAAAACAGAGGACTCAGAGAGGGACAGGTGAGAAAAAAGAGAAAGTGAGGTCGGGGGTGGGGGGGAGCAGCAAGGAATGCCATTTTGGGGACCTGGGCCCAGTGGCAGCTTTTCCTCTTCAAGGAACACAAGTGCTAGAATCATGTTTACAAACACTTTATTCAGGTCATTGTAGTGGGCGAGTTCCCAGTTGAATGCAGATACAAGCGAGGTATCCCTGGATTAATGCAGGAGCCAGTGGGTTACAGGGGACTGAGCACTGAGGTCAAGGAGAGAGCACCAAGGTTTCAGAGTCAGAGGGGGCCAGAGACCCTGAGCTGAGGGCAGGCTCCTGTCCCCACACTGACAGCTGCTTTCTCCTCACAGCTGGCCACACTGCAAGACACATCTTCAACATTAAATCATTTCAGTGATATTAAGGGAACAAAAGTTAAAGAAATGGAACCCATGTCCTGGCGCATCCTCAGATGCTGTTGCTTTGTAAATCCTAACAGCTGTGAACAAGAACTTGCGAACAACATTTTAGTAACAATGGGCCACAGAGCGATGAAGTCTGTTTCTCCCTCAATGCCTGCTTGCCTGTTTTTATCCATAACTGAACCCCTGTCTTTAAGCCACATACCCTAAGCTAAGCGTCTCATGTACACAATAAAAGTGTCTCAGGAGACACCAGCTGTTTCCAAAGCAGCATCTTGTACAGTTGAAGAAAGCAAATGTTTCTGGTTAGCTATTTTCTGTGAAAAGAGGTATTCGCCCCTCATCAATTCCTATTGCAAACATAATTTAGAAAACTGATTTAGGAAATAGAATATGAATAAAAATAGGAAACAAACTCCAAGAAACTAATTTATCTTTCTATCTGGGCCAGATGATGATCAAGTTCATAGATGGTCTTGCTTGAAGGCTACAAAATTGTTGCTCACATAATTGTATCAGCTGGAGTCCACAGCTGATCATCTGCAAACTTCTGGGTGAAACCTTGTTTCTACAGGTATGAGACAGTCTAGTTCAGATCTTCTCAAGCCCGTGTTAAAAAAAAGTGCTGAATTGGATGGGGAGTCACACCACAGACAGCATTTCAAAGGCAAGAAAGGCTGGTCAAGATGGAGAGGGTTCACACACCATGTTACAATTTTAATTTTGAAGAGCACCTTGAGTTCCATTTGGCACTTTTCTGAACTATCTGTCAGGAACAGATTTAAGGACATTTTATCAGTATTTAACTTTTTGGCAAAATAGAAACTTTGGTCATAGCCATAGTTCCATAAAAACTTTTTTAAAGGGGTTATTATTTCTGATTAAAACCATATTTTTAGCAAGTGACACATAACAATAACAATTAAGTAAACATCTTCATACCTCATGTAAGAACAAAAACTCTTTCCCAGCATCTTATTTAAAATACAGCAAGTCAGTAGTGCTTACAAAAAGTAGGGGGTTCTCTTACAAGGAATTAGAAACATACCAAAATAAGGCACAGCCTGTTACTGTCACAGAGCAGTGCTAGGCAATAGTGTTCTTTCTGGAAGGCACAGGTGGAAATCTGATTACCTAAAGGTTTCAAATGTGGTTCTCAAGATAATGCCATCTGACAAGGATAACTACCTTGGAACAAATTCCCTTACCTGGGAGCAATGGCAAAGAATTAATGACAGTACATCTAGATTACAGCACTCCAGAACTTAAGAAGTCCTCTTCATCAGCCCGTATGTAAATATGAAAAGGCACTGTGCAAAACGCAGCGGGGCTGGCCATACTCCTAATTTGGAGTGCATATTAAAAAACAAAGGCACATCTAGAAATTGAACTTTACGTTAACTAACAAAAAACAATCACTTTAGATATAACAGTAAGTAAGCTTGATAATATAGCAGGTTCTAAGTTAAAAGTCTTGAAGAGATTTCTTGAACAGTAGGCTGGAGTTTCACTGGTTCTTCAAGAAGGGACAATCCACACTAACAAGCAGAGGAGATACAGAAAAGAAGAAAAACAGCAGGTTGGTTTCTCAGTGCAAATCCAGAATAAACACAAAATGTCGCAGTCTACATGTAACCAGAAATTCTATTTGGCCAGTTTCTTTTCTTAAAAGTAGAGACAGGGTCTCCCTGTCACCCAGGCTGGAGTACAGTGGCTCACTTCAGCCTCAAACTCCTGGGCTCCAGTGAACCTCCGTCTCAGCCTCCAGAGTAGCTGGGATTATAGGCACACACCACCCCTGGCTATTTTTATAATTTTGGGTAGAGGTGGGGTCTTGCCATGTTGTCCAGGCTGGTCTCTAATTCCTGGCCTCAAGCAATCCTCCTTGCCTTGGCCTCCCAAAGTACTGCGATTACAGCATGAGCCACCATAACCAGCCTGGCTCACTTCCTACTAGTGGTTTCTCTATACTCTAGAGAGAGCTAGAGGAGACTAGAGTCAAAAGAAAGGGTCCAAGTAACTGGACGTTCCTGTTAAAAGGAAGTATCTACTAACATCAACTGGCCAATGAAAGGAAGTCATGTTTCTCTAAACAGTTCCCCTATACAGGGCTGAAAATGGCAATGGGTTGTTCCAAAATTATGTGCAAGAATAATAGTAACAGTTCTATGTGTAGGTATGTATGTATGTATATATATATATCGTTTACTTATTTATGCAACTATTATTTATATTCTTATATACTAGGCACTATCCTAAGCACTTTTTTTATTTTGAGTTGGAGTCTCACTCTGTCGCCCAGGTTGGAGGGCACGGAAGGCTCCCGGCCACCGCAGCTGCCACCTCAGCCTCTCACCTCAGCCTCCCAAAGCGCGAGGATTGCGGGCGTGAGCCACCACGCCCGACTTTCTAAGCACTGTGTGTGTGTTAACTAACTTTGCCCTTAAACAAGGAGTTGCTATCATCTTCTTAATAAGCCGAGGCCCAGAGACGTCACACTGCTCACTCAAGGCCACACAGGTGGATGGTGCTGGAGTCGGGATGAAGGACAGGTGGTCCGTGCTTTCACTCGCTGCCCGGCCGGGCTCGGCGGCTCAGCCCGCAATCCCAGCACTCTGGGAGGCCGAGGCGAGAGGACTGCCCGAGCCCGCGGGTTCGAGACCGGCCCCGGCAACTTGGCGAGGCCTCGTCTCTGCAACAAATCAAAAGCTAGTCGGGCAGGGTAACACGCACCTATAGTTCCAGCTACCTGGAAGGCTGAGGTGGGCGGATCCCTGGAGCCCAGCAGGTCGACGCTGGGGTGGCCAAGAGCTACACTTCGGCCTGAGCGACAGAGTGAGACTCCAACTCAAAAAAAAAAATCTTCTCTAACTTCAAAGGATTAATATTTATATTAGAAATCTTCGCACTTATAAAAAAAAAACTCAAGTATTTGAAACTTTTACTAAAGAAAATTCGAAGCATTGGAATAAAGTGACATTTCTGAGAAAGCTTCTAGTCTGAATTCCAGTACATGCAACCATCTGTGAAAACATGAAGACTTTTCCATTGAGTTTAGAACATGTCAACTCACCAATGATGATGATGATGATGATAACCAGAACGGTAACCCCTATTGCCCACATCTGTAACAAAACATATGTCTGTGTCACATTGCAGTGTAGACATAACATGCTTACCGAAGAGTACCAAGTACTATCATTAGTCACTAAAAGAGAAATTAAGACGCACTACAGTCTGGAGTAGTTCATAATTTTTTTTTTTTTTTTTTGAGTTGGAGTCTCACTGTCGCCCAGTCTGGAGTGCAGTGGCATGCTCATGGTCACCACAGCCTTGACCTGCTGGGCTCAGGTGATCCACCTCAGCCTTCCAAGCAGCTGGAACTATAGGCATGTGCCACCATGATTTATTGTAGAGATGAGGTCTTGCCAAGTTGCCCAGGCTGGTCTCGAATCTGTGGGCTCAGGCAATTCTCTCACATCGGCCTTCCAAGGTGCTGGGATTCTAGGTGTGAGCCACCATGCCCAGCCCATAATCCATAATTTCTAAAGCCTATACTTAATGTTCTCAAGGCCTTAAGTTTACTAGTTTGCTTTTTAAAAGATGTCCAAATGATTTATGGTCTCTAGATAGGCATGCTTTTCATACTTGAAAGGACCATGAGCTTGCCCTATGTCTGAAAGTGTCACATCTAAACGAGGCAGAGGGCAGGACATGCCTGGGATCTGATTGTAGCACCTTTACTTGCCACCTGTTTAAAATCTGCTTTGGGCCATGCTCCTTGTATGGCTGCTTTCTACAGTTCTGCTGAGCACACTATGACTTTCTAGTATTTCTTTCCCTTGACCTTGGAGCCATTCACAGAACTACACAAAAACTGACCATGAGTTCCAGCCCTCTCCTGTCAAGCTGTAGTCAGGGCCCTGCTGGCTGGAAGGTTAGGGAGGGACAACATCTGTGAGAGATTTCAAACATCCCTGTTCTGTGTGGTTTTTTTTTTTTTAACTTACTTTATTTTAAAGATGTGGGGTACAAGTCAGGATTAGGTACATAAGTGGTCTACACACAGGTGAAGTTTGGGCCTCTCCCTGGCCCTCAAGTGCCTTGGTTTAGGATCAGGTGTCCTTAGTGATGTTATGTAGCCCCTCCTTCTCTCCCTCAGTGATCTATCACAGAAACAAACTGTTGTGTACTTCTAAGATAGGCCGTGGAGCATGGATGATTCCTAGCTGGGGGCTAGGAAGGCCACATTCAGTCACCTACATTTCCACATGCAGGAAATCAAACCCACTTCGCAGACTCACGAAGTCCAACACTCGTCGCTTCTGTCAACTCTCTGACAATGCAGAAGGAAACTGATGGAAAAGGTCACTTAAAAGAGAATTACCTTGCAATTCTTCCACCAATATTTTCTCTTCAATTTGGCAGCACTTGTTTCAAATTGGGAAGCTCCTGCCTGCAGGGCATCGGCACGGTCGTCCAATTCGGAGAGCTTCTGGTCTCTTTCTAACACTTTATCCACGTTAACTCTCATTATGTCCACCACCTACATGAATGTGACCACATGAAGTTACACATAAAGGAATGAAAGAACAAACATTCCAAATAAAATCTACAGGCATATTTGTTTCAGGTCAGCATTTTACTACTTAGAGCCAAACATTTGTTAAAAAAAAATTGGGCCTACCCTTTCATGATAAAAACACTCAGCAAACTTAGAAGGGACTTTCTTTAGTAAGCTAAGGGGCATTTATGGGAAAACCTTCAACTACCACTATTACTCAATGGTGAACAACTGAAAGCATTCCCTCTAACATGAGGAACAAGATAAGGGTGCTCAACTTCACTACTGTTACTCAACATGGTATTACAAGTTCTGGCCAGAGCAATTATTATCGTTATTATTTTTTTTTTTTTTTGAGTTGGAGTCTCACTCTGTTGCCCAGACTGGAGTGCAGTGGCCACTCCCGGTCACCGTAGCCTTGACCTGCTGGGCTCCAGCGATCCTTTCGCCTCAGCACTCCGAATAGCTGGAATTACAGGCATGCGCTACCACGCCTGGCTGATTTTTTTTATTTATTGTAGAGATGAGGTCTCGCCACCCAGGCGGGTCTCGAACCCGCGGGCTCAGGCAATCCACTCACCTCAGCCTCCCAAAGGCGCGTGATTACAGGCTGAGCCACCGAGCCCGGCTTAGGCCAGAGCAATTAGTCAAGAAAAAGAAAAGGCATCCAAATTGCAAAAGAAGAGTAAAATCATCTCTACTTGCAGATGATTACACACACACACACACAATCCCAATGAATCCAAAAGAAACTGTTAGAGTTAATACATTCAGCAAAAATTGCAGGGCACAAGTTTCAACACATAAATCAGTTGTTTCTATACACTAGCAAGGAATAATCTAAAAAGGAAATTAAGGCTACAATTACATTTATAATAGTATTCAAAAGAATAAGATACCTAGGACTAAATTTAACCAAGAAAGTGAAAGACTTGCAGAGTGGAAACTATAAGACATTGCAAAAAAGAAATTAAAGAACTAGTTAAATGGAAAGACATCCTATGTTCATATATTGTAGGACTTAATATTGCTAAGGTAGCAGTACTTCCCAAAGTGATGTACGGATTCGGTGTAATCCCTATCATAATTTCATTTTTTTTTCCCCAAAAATGAAAAAACCAGCCATTAAATTAATATGGAATTGCAAGGGGTCCCAAATAGCCAAAACGATATTGAAAAAGTTAGAGGGCTCACACTTCCCTATTTCAAAACTTACTATAAAGCTACAGTAATCAAAATGGTGTGGTACTCATATTAGGACAGACATATAGATCAGTGAAACATATAGATCAGTGAAACAGAACTGAGAGTTCAGAAATCAATCTAAACATCTATGGCCAACGGATTTTTGAAAAGGGTGCCAAGACCACCCAATAGGGGAAACAACAGTTTCTTTAACAAACAGTGCTGGGACAAGTGAATAGCTACCATGCAAAAGAATGAAGTTGGATCCTTCCCTCACCCTATATACAAAAATTAACTCAAAATGCATCAACAACGTAAATCAAAGAGCTAAAACTTAAAATTCATAGAAGAAAACATAATGGCAAATCTTCATTATTTTGGATTTGGCCATGGATTCTGTTTTTTTTTTTGAGTTGGAGTCTCACTCTGTCACCCAGACAGGAGTGCAGCGGCCGCTCCCGGCCACCACAGCCTTGCCTGCTGGGCGCCAGCGATCCTTCCGCCTCAGCCTTCCAAGTAGTTGGAACTACAGGCGCATGCTACCACACCCAACTCATTTTTTATTTATTGTAGAGATGAGGTCTCGCCAAGTTGCCCAGGCGGGTCTTGAACCTGCAGACTCAGGCAATTCACTCACCTCAGCCTCCCAAAGGCGCGGGATTACAGGCTGAGCCACCGAGCCTGGCTTGGCCGTGGATTCTTAGATTTGATACCAAAAGCAAGAATAACAAAAGGAAAACAGATACATTTAACTTCATAAAAATTAAAAAATTTTACACATCAAAGAATACGATCAAGAATGTAAACAACAACCCGTAGAATGGGAGAAAATATTTGCAAATAACATATCTGATAAATAATAAATAAAGGCTTTATATCCAGAATATATTAAAAAAAAAAATCTCTGACAACAGAAAGACAACTTAATTAAAAAATGGGCAAACGACTTGAACAGACATTTCTTCAAAGATATACACATAGCTAATAAGCACATGAAAAGATGTTTAACATCATTAATCATTAGATAAATGCAAACCAAAACAACAAGTACTCAGTAGGAGTTCAAAACAATCAAAAACTGACATTGATGAGAATGTGGAGAAACAGGAGCCCTTGGAACTGCTGGTGAGAATAAAAAATGGTGCAGCCATCGTGCAAAACAATTTGGCAGTTCCTAAAAAAGTTAAACATAGATCTACTAAGACCCAGCAATGCTACTCCTAAGTATACATTCAAGAGAAATGAAATCATCTAACTAAACAAAATCTTATCCCTGAATGTTTATAGCAGCATTATTCACAATGTGAAAGGTGGAAATAATTCAAATACCCATTAACAAATGACTGGATCCACAAAGTGTGGCATACATATACAACTGACTATTACTCAGTCATAAAAAGGAACAAGGCACAATATATGCTACAACTTGAATGAATACCAAAAACATTATGCTGCTGGGCACAGCGGCTCATGCCTGTAATCCCAGCACTTTGGGAGGCCAAGGCAAGAGGACTGCCTAAGCGCAGGGGTTCAAGACCAGCCTGGACAACTTGGTGAGACCTTGTCTCCACAACAAATCAAAACATTATAAGGAGGAGCTGATACTAATCCTACTGAAGGTATTCCAGGCGATTGAAAAAGATGGAAC